ATTGACTAACGGTTTTTAGTTTGCTGTCTTTGATTTCTACGACGCCATTATTCGTAGAATACATAGACCTCTTAAATTCCGTAAGATCAATCCCTCGACCTGATACATATATTTCTAACAAATCAATTGTTTAATACTTGATATATATATGTAGGATTCTAGGATCAAACATATCGTGTTGCGGTGTTGGGACGCATCAAGCGTACGGTTGTGGAAAGGGAAACATCTACTTAAAGCTATGTGACTATCAACGAGCTTACCTCTTCTTCGACGGACGTCACAACACAGAGAAAGCGCAAGAAGAAATGGCACATCTTCTCTACTCAGCTAACACTAACGTGATCAAAACAATGAATGCACGTGAGTTTATTGTCTACCCAACCGGAGAGCAGATACGTGAGTATTACGAGGCTTCGACCCCTTCTCCCCCATCTTGTCACTTCAAATGTGTCTCAGTGACGAAAGCATAACCGAAGTAAACCGAGGTCGATTAAGATAGGGTTAAAAGAATGAGAATATAATAAGTGATCTTATTATTGTTAGTGGTTTGGATAGATTATGTAAAATCTTTGATTCATGTATATCTCCTATATTCTAAGATCTAGATAGCTCATCCTTAATATGTATAAATACTCATAACATCTTATGATAAAATACATGGAGAAAAATGTTTAAAGTATATTGTTTTTATAAGCTCTTGATTGGGACCTATCAATTGGTATCAGAGCCTTCATCTCGTTTTTGATCCGGACCACGTTGTGGTATCAATAGCAACCTTCATCCACTATTTATCTTGGTTTTGATCTGGACCATGCTTGTGGTATCAAAATCTAATTTTATCTTATTTTTCTGGTTTTGATTCGGACCAAACTTGTAGTATAAAACCCTATTTTTTATCTTCTTTTTTGGTTTTGATTTGGACCACATTTGTGGTATCAAAATCTATATTTTCAATACTAGAGAAAAAGAAAAAAAAAATAGTCACAGGAAGCTACCCTTTGATCGTTGATAAGCTATTCCGAGAAGACGACACAAACGGAGAAGATGGGAAGAAGCTACTCAAGAAGATGCACGAGCTTTCTCATGAACTTTGAGGACAAAGTTCTTTTGGAGGGTGGAATATTGATGAGAGCATAACCGAAGTAAACCGGTGTCGATTAAGATAGGGTTAAAAAGAATGAAAATATAATAAGTGATCTTGTTATTGTTAGTGGTTTGGATAGATTATGTAAAATCTTTGATTCATGTATATCTCCTATATTCTAAGATCTAGATAGCTCATCCTTAATATGTATAAATACTCATAACATCTTATGATAAAATATATGGAGAAAAATGTTTGAAGTCTATTGTTCTTATAAGCTCTTGACTGGGATTTATCATACTGCCAATTAAAAGAATGACTTTGAGAAAAATCTTTCGATATATATTATTAATATCGTCGTAATTCTGTTTATGCCGTCGAATAAATTGGTTCTGATCGATTGTCTTGATGTATATACTGTACTATGTTTTTTATATATATATTATGTTTCCTATATGGAAATTAAATAAAGAGATAATGTAATCTATACTGCAGTATAACCTTTGTAAATATTAGGAGAATACAAGTTTTCAAAGATTTCAACCATTTTGGTTATTATGGCATATTTGGAAAGCACGAAACAATTTGGTGTTTAATGGCTATCGTGAAAGTGCTTCGCGGACAGTTCTTCAGGCGCAAGGAGAAATTAAGGATTGGATTAGGATTACTTCTCACACAAATAACAGGGGTTCAAGTTCTACAAGATCAGCGGAAATTAGTCATGTATCTTCTCAATGGGTTCCTTCATCAGAGCATCCTTTTAAGTGTAACTTTGATGCGGGTTTTGACATTCATCATTCGAGATCTACTGCGGGATGGATTGTACGGAATCATTTGGGATCAGCGGTTGTTTGGGGATCTTCAAATTTGGGACATACAGACACTCCTTTGGAAGCAGAGACAAAAGCTTTGTTATCAGCTATTCAACAATTTTGGATTAGAGGTTTTCAAGATATATGCTTTGAAGGTGATTGTGAAACACTTATCAAAAATATTAATGGCCAATCAACTGATCATATTATTATTAGTTTAATTCGAGACATACACTTCTGGGCTGCGAAATTCTCTTCTATCACTTTCTGTTTTGTTAAAAGAACTTCTAATGGTGCTGCTCATAGTCTAGCTAAATATGGTTGTATTGATTGTAATTTTTACGCAAACTCTATTTCTCAGCCTGTTTGGCTTCAGAATCAACTTTGTATTGACTCTTTTACATCAATATAATTAATTTATTTGAGGAAAAAAAAAATAACCTTTGTAAATTGATATATTAATCTTTTTCTTTTTGGGTTTAAGTAGATGTACTAATCTATATATATAATCATTTATCTTTTTTTATACTTGTTTGAAATAAACTATTTATCTAACAAATGAAATAAGTTCAAACCAGCAACATAACCATACTTCAGCTGGACATCCCCAAACTTGGAGATGTGACAGACTAGGTTTCCAGCCTTTCCACAATTCAAAAGTGGTCTTAGGAACTGCTTTGCTGGGAACCCGATTTAAGATATAGACCGCGGTACGTAATGTTTCCATCCACAAGGATATAGGTAGGTTAGCATGACTCATCATGGATCTAACCATTTCCATATAAGTACGATTACGCCTTTCAGCTACACCATTCTACCATGGAGAACCAGGCGTTGTGTACTACGCATCATATTTGCCATAAAATTCACTACCTCTATCTGACCTTATGATTTTCACTTTTCTATCTAATTGCCTCTCAACTTCAATAATGAATGCTTGTACAATATCCACATATTGAGATTTTTCATGCAGCAAATATAGATAACAATAACGTGAATAATCATCGATAAAGGTAATAAAATATTTTTCTCCTCCAAAAGTTGGAACATCAAATGGTCCGCAAATATCTGTATGTATGATTTCAAGAAGCTGTGTACTTCTTGTGGCTCTTTTCTTAGTTTGTTTAGTTTGCTTGCCTTTAATGCAATCTATATACTCTTTTATGTTGGTAAAGTCAAGTTTCGAAATGACTCCATCTTTTACCGATCTTTTAATTCTTTCATAGGAAATATGTCCTAATCTTTTATGCCACAAGAAATATGAGTTATTAGTACATGTTTTATTTTTAAGTCTACTTTCAGTATGCAAGGAGAGATGTGTCTCATAAGGTTGATCAGCCAATTTTAACTTATAGAGACAATCAACTAATATTCAAGAACCAATTGGATTAGAGTTCAAGAATATATTATAACAACCATCTCCTTGAGTAGATTTAAAACCAGCCAAATCAAGTTTGCTTACAGAAACTAAACTACGGGAAATAGATGGAACATAAAGAGTCTGATATAAATCTAGACAAAATCCACCATCTAAAATGAGACGATAGGTGCCAATAGCTTCAACTGGAGCATTGTCTCGATTTCCCATCAGTAAGTAGTTTTCACTTGAATTTATGGTGTGGATCGTGAGGAATCCCTGTACAGAATTCGTTACATGTACATTAGTACCGCTATCAATCCACCAAGCTTTAGAAGAAACATGAGTAAGATTAGATTCGAAAAATCATACGTAAGCCATAGGATTACCTTTCTTTTCGAACCATTCTCTTCTTTTAGTTCAATCTTTTTCAAAGTGTCCAATCTTTTTCTTTGCCTTTTTCTTCGAATTAGCTTGATCGTGATCGTTCATTGTGGGTGATGCTCTTTGATGGCTCTTTTTATGCCTTTTCCCAACTTTAAGTCCAGCTCCTTGGACATAATGAGCAACTTTAATGCTTTCACGACCAAGTCTAGCCTCCTCTAGGACTAATTTATTAGTCAATTCATTAGATGTCCATCTTTCATCAATTGCATTATAATTGATCAGGAATGGTCCATACTGAGGAGGTAGTGAATTTAGGATAAATTGGACAAGAAAAGAATCGTCCACACTCATTCCTAAATTCTTTAATTTGGCCGCAAGGTTGGTCATTTCAATGCAATGTTCATGCATAGACCTTGTCCCATCATACTTATGGTTGTAAGATCTGCCACAAGTTTCCCTGCAAGGGATTTGTCTGCAGTCTTAAACCGTTCTTCTATAGCTGCTAGATAAGCCTTAGCTTTATCTACATTAGGAAGGGAAGTTTTAACATTGCTAGCTATTGTCATTCTTTAAAACATCATGCTCAATCTGTTCGCTTTCTTCCTAGCTTTATGGAGTGTCTTTTCTTTCAAAGTACTAATTATAGTTAAGGGATCTGGCTCTTCTTCACGAAGTGCCAAATCCATATCTAGTACTCCTAATGGGAACTCAACTTTCTCTTTTCATTCTGAGAAGTTGGTTCCAGTGAGGATTGGAACAGTGGAGACCATAGATGACAAATTAACAGGAAATGACTGCTGCGATTTAGAGATATAACAAGCTTTTAATTAAGGTTCAAAGTTAAACAACACATTAACTACAATTATTGAAAGCATATGACTATAAATTATAATGCTGCTGTGGGTAGTCACTATAATATTTCATAAGGTCATAGCTTTCGAAAACCTTTCTTAAATGATGTATCAAATTAATTAAGCTATATGTGGATATACTTAATTAACTCACATACAAACATTCTAATAAATTTTTTTATCATGTTTGATGAAAATAGCCTACCTGTGGGTAGCTAATTAATACATAAACATATCAAAATTTCTTTTAAAATATTTGGTTTTTATGTGCAAATCATCATTTGATAAAACCTATTATCGTGATATCAATTTCTTAATTATGCACATTAAAAGAAACCAAATTCTTATCACTTTAAAAAATTTCTTTTAAAAACCGAAAGTTAAACTAATGCAAGTCTACAAATATTATAACTTTGCGGTTCTAAATTTCAGTTCTTTAAACCATAGATATATTATTCTTAATGGAAATTAACTTAGCTAATCAAAAAAAAAAAAAAAACTCTCTCGAGGATGGCGTCGACTCTAGGGTTCGCCGTACAATGAGTAAAGGTTTCGATGGATTCAGTTGGGGTTTTATCATGGCTTTTTTGCGGTTGGGGCTAAGGATCTTATTGGTGAAAGGGGCGTAGGATGCTGGTTAATTTGGAGGTGGATATGGATCGGGATATGGGTGAGGCATGGGGATTCCGGATCATTGTTTATTTGGATTCGGTTTCTATATCGGGGGAAAAGAAGGAGATTTCTGGAGGTTAATAAGGCAAGGATACGTGATTCTTTTTATCAATGGGGGATGCGGGATTCCGATTTGGTGCTACAGGATCTTCGTTTACGGAGGATTTGTGCTGATGTGATTTCGGTGAATAAGGAAGATATGGGGCTGATTCGAGGCATCAAATGGGAAGATCTCATTAAATGGGATTTGTGCAATCAGTCTCACGCAAGGCAAGCGGTGGGGGATAAATTGGTTTCGGGGCTGAGATAGTCTTCACACCTTTTTCTCTACTTTTCCTCTTTGACGATTATCTTCCGACAATTTGCTCTCGGGTTTTGTCTGGTTTCTGTTACGATGTCGCAAGCTTCCTTAGTGAAAAACGGTGGGGCGGGGAAGAAGGAGACAGAGGTGGTTCCCAAACGGCGTGTCAAAGTTCCAGCTTTTGATAACACGGCGTTGATCGAGGGGTATGCGAAAACATATTATCAGGCGCTGCTTCAACCCAAGCAAGCAGGATATGAAGACTCTTCTCTTAATGTGTCCCAGGATCTGGTAGATCGAAAACAGGGTTGTGGGATCTGACTTGGGGTTGGGGAAATTCCAACTCAATTTTGAGAATCAAGAGGACATCTCTAAGGTGCTGTAAATGGAACCATTCCATTTTGATCACTGGATGGTGGCGATGGTGCGTTAGAGGCCATCGATTGATCCGGAGTATCCGTCTTCCATCACGTTTTGGATCAGGGTCATGGGCATCCCTTTGCAATTTTGGGCAGAGCCAACCTTTAGGAGCATTGGCGAAGCTTTGGGAAATGTCGAGGAGATCGATATTCACGGTGGCCGGGTGAAGGTGATTTTAAAACAGAGCTGGACTTTGGCAATTGTGTGGAGGTTCCGGTGACGCTGCGCTATGAATGGTTGTTTGGGCTCTGCACGCTATGCCATAGCCTCTGTCATGAAGAGGATGAATGTGAGAAGCTGATTGTTACAAGGGTGTGAATGCATTAAAGACAGTCAAAAATGCACAAGCTGTTCATGCTTTTAAGTCTACCAAATCTGAAAGTATAGATAATCCAACTCAAGTTGGTAGATTCATAAAACAAGAGGCATTATCAGAAGCCAAGCGTTCACAACCTTACACCTCTCCTACAAAACCCGATGAGGAAAAAGAATCAAAAGTTGTAGATTGAACCGAGGGTCTTCACACACCATGCACATCAAACACCCTATCAGATTCTTTTGAAGAGGCGCGTCATAAAACTTTAGATGGGGCACTTTCTGATTCGCAAACATTTTTAGAGAATGATGACAATTTCTCCCGTAAGAAAGGATGTTCCAAAAGGCTTGCATCCAACCAGCTTGATCCTTTTATTGGCAGTTCTATTGTCAAATGTATCATGCGTGGAGTGAAGCTATCCCCTAGAGCTTATGACCCTTTCCAAAAGGCTGATGCTTCTAAAATGAATGCATTACTTGACTATATCAAGCGTGAAGTGTAAGTCCCAATTGCAAATTTCATTTCCCTTTTTGGATTTGGAGTTCACTACTCTAATGGCTGGTGCATTAATGGCCTTTTACTATAGGGAGGATCCAAATACCACAGACTTTGCAGCTTCCAATTTTTACTATAAGATTCTGACACCCAAGGAGATGTGGCCAGAAGATAAACCAAAATTTGGGTGGCTGATGAACTTGGTAATATTCTTAACCATGTATTATTTTTTTTTCTGACTTCATGTATTATCTTTCTTATGGTCTAATATTCTTGTAAATTAGATTCACTAACTTGTGTTACATCCACATATTTGCAGCATTTGTGTCCTATAATGCAGATGCTCCGTAATAGGTCTATGGAAGAAGTCACCCCTTACAAATAAAAAAGGATTACATGTTTGGATCCATGGTTTGTTAATCAATAGTCACATGATTACAAATGGTTTGTCACTGAAAAGGATTGGTCCTTTCCCCCCGAATATTTCAAGGTTTACGAGGGGACTTCAAAGAAATACGGTGTTACTAACAAGAAATGGGTTGATGATGTGGATATTTTATATCTCATGCACAACTACAAGGGAGGGCATTGGGTTGCTTGCGAGATCGACTTAGTTGGGAGGCGTGTGAGGATATATGATAGGATCATCAGCTGCTCCACTAAATAACAAACGTTTGAATCATGCAAGCACTACACTAAGATGATTCCACTGCTTATGCAACACTTTGCTCCCTTGGATGAGAAGAAAAAGATGGGTGCCAACTCATTTTGCTCTTAAGTACATTGAATGTCTTGCATTAGGGATTAAGTTCGATGGCCTATGTGATGCGGCGATGCCAGCTATTCGTTTATAGCTTGCAGCGGATATGTTTCACGAAGTTCCCAATACAGATTGTTTCATTCAAATGACAGATGCATGTGATCGTATTGGACACACATCGGAAGTCGAGTTCGTCAAGGAGACGAAGGTGAACTGAGGCTGTTAGGGCTATTTAATTATTTTTTGGTTCAAGTGGTTGGTTACTCAGGGAAGTAGGTGGTCGTGGCTGTTGTACAACTTTTTGGTCAGCCCACATTTCCATTTGTCTAGGTTAATTGGCAACTGTAATTTTTTGTAAATTGTATGTACTCGTAACGATTTTATGTCACCGTAATATCTTTGTAACAAGCCTTCGTTAATACATTAGTAGGAATGGCAATAAATATTATGCATTTCATAGCTTCTTCGCATCAAACACAAAACATACATTAGTAGGAGAATAAGATAGTCACATTGTCATTACATTCTCAAACACAAAACATACATTAGTAGAAAATTAAGATACTACAATGACATTACATTACATTGTTTAAACATGAATTTCATAAACTACAAACGTGGTACAACTACTAACATTGAGTTAAGAAAGATACCAAACTAAGTCATTTCATTGAAGGTGGTGGCATAAGTAAAGGCAAAGCAATCTCGCAAATGTCTAAGGATGAGAAATGCTGGAGAAGACATTGCGGAGGTTGAAGCCCAAAATGGAAAAATCCTTCGAAAACGCGATTACCAGTTGGCCCTATTTCCCTTATGAGACTTTCCACCGTATCACCAACCGCGATACCTTCAGCTAGACATGTCAGTTTCCCTAAAAAAAAGTTAGTAATATTTAGCCCATCCTCTAAGCTGCCACAGAGGATAAGAAATATCTCATATGCAAACTTAGCATAGCTGCTATCTGGAGCAGCTTCCCCTAACAAATTTAGAGTTTCTTGCGTTGGACCTACCTGAACAAACCTCCGGATAGCTTCAACAAAATGGGCAGTACTGTTTTCGGCGTCCACACATGCGAGAAGGAATGGTTGGTACCCAGAAGATTCTCTAGCAAGTGTACCATTAATGATGAACTCATCAACATCAACCTTTGCAAGCACTTCTGGAGAGTACAGAATGGAATGAAAGAACTTCCCAGCAGAGATAAACGGACCAAGATGTCGAAATCCTTGCTTTCCAACACGCCGAACGATGTCCATAAGGAGTGGCTTTGGTATGTATGCCATTCTCAAAGCACAGAAAACCCTTTCAAAAGGTGAGTTCTCTCTCTCGCCGATGTGAAGAAGGAAGAGGCGATGGAAGATGAGAAGATGAGAAACCCTAGCCTTTTTGGAAGATGAGAAGGTCCACCAAGAATTGCAAGATAAAAGGCACAATAAGAATTGCACAACTAAAAGGCCCAACAACAATTGCAAGTTAAAAGGCCCAACAAAAATTGCACAACTAAAAGGCCTACGTTTGAATATTAATTACAAGGCCAAATTTGTTATTTAAACTTGTAATAGATAATAAGGCCCAATTACAATACAATTACTTTATAACATAGGTTCAAAATACAATTAAAACGTAAATATCCTCTTTATCGTGACTTACTTCATTCAAGTTCTTCTTTTCCTAAACATTACAAAACAAACGAAAGACAAAGTTCATAAAAACATAAACATAATCAACCTTTAAGACAAGTTTTGCGATTGTGACAAACTTCATTACATCGAGAGCAAGCATGTTATTTCCTTTGTCTTCGACCAGCCATCGCATCCTCTAATGGACACTTTATTCGTGACAACTTTGGACGCCCCGACTGAGTCCTTACAAAAGGAGGCTTCACAAGTTTAGTGGCTACCTGATTAGGGACCGGTATTGATGCATCCCTTGGCATTACAGACTTTGCATACCCGTGACATAAGTAATCTGATCGATAATAGGGATGGCAATGTAAAATTCTTGAGACCTTACCTTTTTCTACAGCTGCGATCGCATGGTCACAAGGTATCTTCTCAAGGTCAAACCGGCGACATGTACATGTTTTTTGGGCTAGGTTGACAACATTTACGGATGTCCCAAAATGAACTTCATAATGGTGAGGATCTATCTCTTGCACATTCATTTTACTAGACCTGTGATATATAAATAACTCGTGTGAATTAGTAAACAAATGAAAATAATAAACAAGTTCTTATGTTTAAAAGGTTCTGATTGAACATACCTCTAATAACTTCTCAACCCCACTTGTAAGTGTTGTAGTCATCCGTGTTGCTTGTTTTCGTCGTATAGCAAACCAACGGGTTACTGTAGACCTGATAAAATCTAATAGGTAGAGAATTGGGTACTTTCTTGCAGTGTTTATCACTCGGTTAATGGATTCAGCGATGTTGCTAGTCGTGAAATTGTACCGATCTCTAGGAATGTGGAATCGAGTCCACATACTTAGATCAGCACGTTGTAAGTAATTTTGGAGCTGCGGGTTAAGTGCACCTATTTGCTGAAAGTATCCATTAAACTCCTCAAGACGGAAAGCACGAGCTGCCTTCTTGACTAAGCTAAATGTCTCACTTTCTCTAAACTTAACGACAATGTTCTTGTGGAGATGGTACGTGCATATACCACGTCTAGCAAGAGGGAAGACATTTCCAATTGCTTTTCCTATAGATTTATGTCTATCTGAAATTATAGCAAGGCCTTCATCATCTGGAATTACTATACTTAACTGTCTAAAAAACCATTCCCTTACCTCATCATTCTCACTCTCAACAATAGTAAAGGCTATGGGGATGATGTTGAAATTCCCATCTTGTGTTGTGGCTGATAGAAGGGTACCTAGATATGTACCTTTCAAGAATGTACCATCAACTACAATCACTTTCCTCATGAAAGGAAATCCAGAAATACTAGCATCAAACGCTATAAAGACATACTTGAACTTGTCTTCTTCATCAACCTCGAGCCGTGTAAAGGTTCCTGGATTTGCTCGCAGAATCCTATATAAGTAAGAGGGAAGATTCTCATACCCATGTTCAGATGTTCCATGAACTAGTTTTCTAGCACACTTCGGAGTATGATGTGATTTCCAATAGTCAGCCTACACATTAAGGTTTCATATCAACAACAGAATGAACAAGAAAAAGGAAGTCCATTTCTTTAAACAATTCACAACTTCACAAGTTTACCTGTAAGCCAAACCGTAGATAGAGAGCATCTTCCACATGCTTTGGTATGACACCATCTCCAACACAACCAACAAAATCTTTGTACAACTTCCCTAATATATCTGGAGTAGCTTGTCGGGTGCGTCCGCCACGTTCAGTGACAGAACAAGTGTGCTCTTTTACAGATATCAGGAATATGTAAGACATGTGAATCTCCAATCGTAGAAGCTCTCACGCGCCATTGACATCCTTCAACCCAACACTTAAAAATATACAAATCACGCCTAGATCGATCGACATCAAAATCAAATTGCTTTAGAAGAGTTAGGATCTTCAATCTGTTTTCTAATGCTTCTCTTGACTGATATTGTTGTCCTACACCAATATCAACATCACCAAATTCCAAATCGATAGACTCTTTCAAAGGCTTGACCATCTTCGTTGGAATGGGTTTTCTTCTTTTCTTTAAACAATTATCACTCTCATCTTCTTCTTCTTCTTCTTCTTCCTCCTCTTCTCTTGATAACTTTTAATACAAACCAAAGTTGTCAGCACCAGAGCTAGCACCATCGCTATCATCACAACAGTCATACCTCAAATCATCGTCCTCATCGTCGATATCCACCGGATCACAATGTTCTGTTTTTGCCCCAACTCCTCTATCCTCATACTGGGTCGGATTGATAGAAGATGCTTCATTGGCAGCTTTCTTATCCCACTTATCATCCTCAAATGTATTTCGCCTCTTTTGATTCTTCTTATATTGACTAGCTCCTTCAACCTCTGCCTCCACTGTTCCCTTTATGTTGCTATCAACATTCACCTCAACAAATTCTTCAATCTCCACACAAAGACGCTCGCTCTCACACTTCCTCATAAAACCGTCAAATTATCGCTGATTGCATACAAAAACGGGAGGTGTATCTCCTGAAATCTTGTGCATCTTCTTTCTTAACTTATAACTTAATTGAATATGACATACATTCCGATCGATTTCGAAATCTTCGTGTACCATTGCCACAAAATCCTTATATGAGCTTTCCTTCCTACCATAGATGACCCTCGAACCTCTCCTATCATCAACACAAAATTCCCACTTCTTCTTCACTAATTGCCACTTCCCACACACTATAGATATATCCTCCATAGATCAAAACTTTCTAATTAGTTGAGATTATAGCAAGTTAAAGATAAAAGATCAAACTATCTCGGATTCGATCTCCAAATTTTTTTTTCTTTTTTAATCTTCTTTTTCCGATTTAGGTTGAGGAAGAAGATAAAAATTAAGGACAATTTTGACAATTCCCATGTGAAGTTCTCATTTGACCTAATTGTTAAATAGTATTTGTCTACCACTCTCCGTTTTATCTACCACCACACTTTCTATAGCTCTGTCATCTTTTGTACATTGCGGTAGCTAATAAATCTATCGCAACTATGGCCGATAACTCTGTCAGATGTCGGATTAATCTGTCACTTACATATCTCTGCCATCACTACTTAAAAACTCTGCCGTTTATATCTGTGGCTAATATAATTATCTGCTTTCAAGTTTTATAAATCTGTCATTTATAAATATCATCCTCGTAACATCTGTCATTAATATATATATCTGCCACCACAGCCAATATCTCTGCTATTTTACTCTACCAACTATCCATTACTCTACCACCATTAAAATTAATCTACCATATTTATCTGTTAGTCCTTCATACATTTGCCATACTTTAAAACTCTGCTACAACACATAAACATATCTGTCACATTTATCTATCCGCATTTATATATCTATTTCATTTGTCTATCTAAAATAAAATTATGTCTAATATATCTGCCGTAAAAATTTGTCTGCCATAACTGCCATCTGAGTACCGGGAGTTTTTCCCCCCAAAACTTCTAAATTTTCTCCTCAAAACGCTGACGTGGCTTTAAATTATAATGGCAGTGTGGTAATATTTTTCATCCCCTCTCACATACAAATGGGCACTTTTGCCTTTTAATTTTTTTTTCAAACACACTCCAATCTAGTAATTATGTAAGTTATATGGGCTGTTTGAGTCATTTTCCCATAGTTTTATCACCAACCAATTTAGCCACTAAAGCATTGTAGTTAATAAGTGAAAATTTTAATATAAATATTCAAGGGGTGTCAGATGACCCCCTTTCTTCTACGTGGGTCTGCTACTGATACCACGTGTCAACACACACTATTATTCGTGCATACCGGATTCTTTGTGCCTCTAACATTTCCTCCCTCCACATTTTACTCGTGCATACATGATCCCTCATGCCTAGGCACTTCTTCCATGCATTTCTTATTTGTTGACTTATCAGCCATCCTGACCTATCTGCATCCCGCGTCCATAGGCCACCATACAACTGTAAAATCTCTTTTTACAAGACTCTACGCGGTTCATCCGCACCATCGTGCCTTTATCACATTATTTCCTCTTATTTTTACAAAATATTATTTTTACAAAATAACATGAATTTCACTCAAACACATCATCATCAAACAACACACATTCCTTTTCTATACTCATTTTTGTTATAATTTTTACTATAGATAATATATGTTGGTGTCGGATCTTGAACCGGAATCCCGGATCCATAGAGAAATCAGCCATTTCAGATACCTAGTTTTTCCAGTATGGACCCACCCACACATTCGTCCATATCTATTGAACCGCCTAGAACATAAGCGATTGCAATCGTGAACGCGCTTTGTAACGCTCTTTTTGGATCAGACTTCTCTAATCCTAGCTCAAATCTGTATGAAACATTCAAAATAACTTCAAAGACTTAATGAATAACCAAAATCTCGCGTTTGTAACAATGTACATTCTTATAATAGGAATATATATATATATATATATATATATATATATATATATATGTGATAGCTAAAGAGGTTTCATATAACTTTTCTGTTTTTGTAATAATTTTTTTTCTGTTTGTTAGCATTCTCTAATATAATTTGTTTGTTGGACCATAAGGTTGTACAGCTAACGCGGTTTACGAATATCTCCGGCGTGATGAAAGTACTCCTAGTTTGATGTTTGGAAATTTTTTAGAAGTTGTCACAAATTTTTTCAGAGATGAATAAGAATGCCTACTCGATATTGGAGAGATACGTGAATTTTCCAGAATAATAGGAAGCATGGACTGTGGAAGAATTTCTCCACCGCGTGGTAAGGGCAATACACTCGTGGATCAGGAAAATCCACAAGCATTTTAGAGGTTGTAGTGTCACATGATTTTTGGATATGACACTCTTTTTTTGGAGCTCAAGGTACCTCAAACGATATCAATGTACTTGATTGCACTATAAAAATATAGGTATCTTATTATCTGAATAACGCTATCTTACGATTGTATAGCGTTTTTATAACCGCTATTTCTGCGTCTGTCCTCATAGGTTAGACACTTTAGATAGCGGTTTTTCTCTATGCTATTGTATTGTAATATATAATAGTGCTTATTTGTCTGCAATTAAATAATTTATAATAGCGTGTCTCTTTTGTCATTATTTACCTTTTTAAACGATTTCAATTTTCTATTTAAAATATATAAATAGCATTTATAAAAGTGTAATTATCTGAACGTATTATATATTAAATATATATCTATATTAACATTTTTGCAGCAACATATGAAAAAAAAATCCTGGACTTCACACTTATTTACAGACAATGCCACTTGGTATAAATTCTTTAAAAACAAAAAATTAAGACACCCATTTATTTCTCTGCAATTGTTACCTGCATGGTTATTGAAAATAAATGCCCAACATACAAGTCTCAGAAAGTAAAAGTGTAAATAACTACAAGGCCCATACGTATAGAGTTAATAATACGTTTATGTCTTAGTAGAGCATTTCACGAATATCATGATCCCTATAATTACGCATTCTGTGCTCAAACTATATTGATTCGCAAAAATATTATGCATTAATTTAGCTAACCCGTATTTAGAATCATTTTCGAAGCCTAAAAATCTTAAACACATTTGAATATATAACAATTAAAAGGGATTTTAAACGCTTATAGAAACTACAAAGATTGCATGATAGAATCAAATCAATTATGCTTCGTATATGCCACCGATTACGCATATCATCATAATCCTATATTCACTTTTTTCCTTTCGATCTTAACAACCTACTAACCTCTATGATCTACTATAAATATGTAGTGAAAAGAAAACAGAAGCACACTCACTCACACACATCCCAAGCATTACAGAAATGGCGGCATCGTTTGCTTTCCTCAAAGATGTAAGACCATACAAAACGGCATGGCGTGTTCAGGTTAAGATGCTACATTCGTGGCGTCACTACACGCAGAACACTTGTGAAACATTGGAGACGGTTCTCTCTGATGAACTGGTAAGGAAGAAACTAATTTCATACTCACGCTTCCATGTTTTATATTTTCTATCATGGTTATGACGATTTTATTAACGTTCTTACTTAATGCACTATAGGGTAAGAAGATACACCTACCGTGAGGAAAGATTTGGTCAACCTTTATGTGAACAGGCTGCACGTTGATGACTGGGTTTTCATTGACAACTTTGGTCTAAGCTATGCTAACGGCCAATTCAGACCAACCAGCCATCTTTTTATAGTGATGCATTGTGACCCCAAATCTGATTCTTGCTTTCTGTCGTTGGCAAAGTATCAGAAGATACAAAGTGGAGAACTCAATCCACATATGTTGGT